AATAGTCAAAATTACAAAGGGACTTAATAATTCAGATAATTTTATTCAAGGGAAATAATATTTTGCTAATTTGTTTTTAAATTTACTTATTGATATTGCTAGACACTCTTAACTATCAAATATGAATTTAATAATTCATTAAATAAAACTATGTTTTTTATAAACTTTTAATTTAAACGTCAAAATTTTTTAAATACATATTTTTATTTTTAATGCTTTTTGACTAACAATATTATTTTATGCGCAATAAACTTACTGTTCCTTTTTTTTCCATCCCGTTTTCTGTTATTGAGAGAAATTACCCTAAATATATATCCAAGATATACTATCTTTTCCTCCGTGGAAAAGTGGTCATTTTTTGACAGGCTGTATTATACCAGCCTATTATTTATAATATCCAACAAACCGGCGTGACCAGAGAAAATATTCAAATGATGATAACTACATGCAGAGAGCACACCTGTCTCCAGCTTTCATAACATACTCAGCGAGTCAGCTAAAATCACGGTGTGTGTGTGTGCAACTGATTCTCAAGCCAGCAGAGACTGGCTCCATCCCCATTCTCAAACTACACGCTGTGATATCATATGCAAGGCTTTGCTGCACTAGTCTACGTCCATTCGCCTCTGCTTTGAACCCCAAGTCCTTACCTCTGCCCCTCAACACAGAGCCATCTGTGTATACAATCACATCACCTGGGTGATAATTGTCATGAATCATTTGTTGAACTTCTGATTCTGCAGCACCAGCTGGCCAGTCCCTGCACTCACGTCCCAAAGTGATTAGAAACCCTACACAAGTCTGAAACCTGATCAAACACTTTGACCCACTCCTTTTCTCACCTAAGTTTATCAAGACTGCACATCTCTCTTCTTTGTTGCGTACTTTGATATCACACCCAGGTTGGTCTTAAGATTTGCTACAGGAGGAGTCGATTGGAAGAGAATAGACAAGGAGGAAGATGGTCGTGTCGATAGTGATGATGATGATGCTGTCTTGCTTGCTGCATACTTCTCACGTGGCTCTGATGCTTGGAAAATAAAATGTCTGGAAACAACCGTTCTTTTCTTTATTGTGATACCTCGGAAATGTCACAAATAACATCGACGATATTCCGAATGGCGCTGTGTTCTCTCTATGGTTACATACTCTTAAGGTCGCGTTGTGTTTTTCATCTCTATTTACTTTATTAACTGGTTCTAGTGTCTGTAACTGCCACCTGGCTTCTAGTGCTGTCTGGCACTAACGGCTTAATCGTAGACTCTTAACATATTATTAGTGTTTCTACCATACGTGTCTCTGTTAATCATGGATCCATGTATCTTGTGTGTTGTCTGTAGCTCGATGTCTTGTCTCATGTCTCATTTCTAGTGTCTGTCTTTGAGGCTGGTCCCTCTTCTTCTAGTGTTGAGCTGGCATCTCTAAAACTGAAGGCTCTCTTTGAGGGTCTATGTTACTAGTCCTCCCTCTTCCAAGTCTGGATCAAACTGAAGGATTCCTTTGAGGGTTTCTTATTCATTATTTATACTCAGATGCTGGAATGCTAGGAATTTTATTTCTCACTTTGACTCCTTCTAGAATATTCTTGTATACTAAAACTTGTTTACTATGTGCGTTCTCATGTGGGAATTTCTAATTACATCTCGACTGCATCAAATTTCCTCATCTTGTTCTACACCTAAATATACTAATTAGATTGACAGCTAGCCTCATGGAGACTTCCAGAAAGCCGGTACTGTTGTGTTCATTGTGATAGGGCATGTCAACAATGACATCATATACTATTTATAGATAATTCATTTGCAAAACATTTATCTGCTAAAAAAAAAAAAAAAAAACCCTATATTTCTAGAAAAGAATGTCAAGGTTTTTAAAACCTGTTGATTCCGGCACATCATAACTTCGCTCAATATCCTGCCTCCTAACAAAGAAGTGATGACGTCTCCCTGTTACAACACGTCAAATTGTGCCTTTAGCTTGCGCCATTTAAGACTTTCCTCTTTTCAGTCTTTAACCCTTAGCTCTATGCAGAGCTTCATACAGGAGATGCCTCTTGTCCACAGCTACTCTAAGATATAACTTTGGCTGCAGAACTTTGAGCCTATCTGCAATAGCAGACAGTGCAAGTATATATGGTATACATACTACCGGGGTATCTCTTGTACACTCCAGAAATAATCTAACGTGGAAGAAAGACAGGCAGCTGGCTCACCGCTCTTCAAAGATTGTTGATTATTCTTTCGGAAAAAGTCGGTCAGATAGCAGACAAATGTAATTCAAGGAGCCAAGGCTTTGGAAATGGCAGTTCTATGAAAACTGCATCAGAGGAAGCACCAATCCATAGGATACGCCACATTAAGACAAGCAGAGTCGGGAAAAGTCTTGAGAAAGTGTGCGTTGACCTCATCAAAGCTGCTAAGGAAAACCCGAAAAAGAAAAGGGTCTGCACAGTCCCTCTGAGGTGTCACATATCACTCCTGTCGCGTGCCTAATGTAAGGATTTCTCCTTCAGAACCAGCAGCACTCAGAGATAATTTTGTTGAGTCGTTTGGCTCGTATTGGTCTAAGGGATTCCCCGTGGCCAATATACGATCAACTTATCTCTGGAGTAGGGCAACTCAAGTATTGGCACTACAAAATATGTCAATATATATATATATATATATATATATTTCTAGGCACACTTGGCTGGACACCCCCACTACTTACTAAAGAAAGCCCCCAGGTTATGATAGTTCATTATCATAACCATGTTAACACATATAATGAAGATACATACACATACAACTGCTAAACACTTAAGAAGGTGACATAGAGAAACCTAAGTCAGCCATGAAAATGAATGCATGTATTTAGTATAATATCTGTACAAAAACAATTGAAGTGAATTCCAGCTATCAGTGAAAGAATTTCAGCACTAATGTCTAGATCCTAAGGAAACTAGGCAGACAGCCGGTCCTGGAGGTGACATATGTCATCATGGGACACAGGGAGCTGTGAGGAACACAACATCATGCGAAGCATTAGACTTATCTTCTCTTATCTCTGTCTATGATGCCTCCCTCAGCTCCGGATGATTTGACTGTCTTTGACTCTGGGAATTCTGCTCCACTGGATCAAGTAGCAAGAGTACTTCACTGTACAGCAACTGTACTGGTATCTAGCAAGTCTATATCACCAGTAAGGACACACAATGTCTTTGAGCCACATTACTCTGGCACTGGTAGCTGTTTGAGGCACAATCTCCCCCATTTTTGGAGATGTCAGGAACCTTCACAGGTGTTAGCTGGTGGGTAACAAGTTGGTTCTGGTGGTTGGATGTGGTGAGTGGATGTTGTTGAGACTGTGAATCTTCTGCCAGCTCTTCAGAAAATATACATCCCAAGCATATGTAAAACTGAGATCTTTCCAGATTGCCTTGAAAATTTAAAGTATACAGGCACAGATTAACACATCTGGAGGCTTGAGAAGCTGGCAAGGAGAATGGCGTCAGTTAGACATTTCAGGCGTTGGTACAAAAGAAGTTCCTTGTATACTGGGGCAAGGAGTAAATCGGTTTCCAAGAAACCTCAATTAACTCCCTAAATATATCCCCAAAAGAAATACATTTAAAAGTGGAGTTTAGTTAAAGTAACCAGAAAAGGCAGACATAATAATGTTGTCCAATACAGGCCTATATATATAGATATAAGGGACTATATATTTCTGGGCGAGTCCAAGTTTGAATTTTGTGCAGATTACAGGTAAGACAGGTTATCAGCCTTACAAACCGATGTGTAATGACTATCATTTCACGACAGTACCCCCCCAAAGGGAAGAGCGTACTACGCGAATGAAAAATGATCAGCCATTTACACATCTATGGACTCACTACTTTCAGCTTGCTCATCACCTTCAGTCTGTGAATTATCAGACAAGGGATGGCGGCTCAAGAAATCTGCTCTGAATCAAAGAGTTGACCAAACCAACCTCTCAGAGACAGATGAAATATATACAATAATGACAATTCATGTGAAAATAGAGAAACCTATGACCACTATACAATACTACTGAACAAGGAATCTATATAGAATCAGTCGATGGCCCTGAAGACCTAAGACTGATGACTCCATCCATGTATCACTGATCCCTGCCAGGTACATGCAAAGATGTAGGTTCAGACCGAACCCCCCGATCGGGTTGGCTGAATAAACCTACACACCATCCTGGTACTCCTGTCATATTCAGGAAATATACCGGTGTGTCTCCTACATCATTAGTCACACAGGAAGGTCGTCGAGGCATGTGGGATATAATCCCTCCCGTCTGATCCTTCGCGAGGTTCGGAAGGATAATCCTCCCCTCGTCACTATGTGCTCCAACAAACACAGGAAGGAACCCTGGTGTGAATTGAAAATTCTTCACCTTCTGGTCCTCCTGATGGTCTGGAGGTTTACTCCATTCCTCTTTAAAAAGAGGAGCTTGCACAGGGCATTGACTGAAAGGCTCAACAGGAACCAATGTCGTATTATACTCCAATAATGAAGTTTGCCCTGGCTTCTCTGTCAGGACAGAGTTACACTCTGACAAGAGTGGTTCTATAGCTTGTTTCTGAGAGACAGAGAGAGTTGGGTTAACCTCTACATCTTTATAGGTCTCCCTGGGGTGAAGAGGATATTCCACAGCTGTGGCTTCTCCACCTTCCACCTCCATAGCTACAGAAAGTGTCAAGAGGGTCGGTGTGTCACTTACCTCTCTCTCGTTGTATTTCCGGAGGAGATTAATGTGATAGACCTTTGACTTACCTTTAATGTTGATCTTATAATGGATCCTGGATATCTTCTCTACCACCGTATAAGGGCCTCCCCAAGCTAACTCTAACTTAGACTTCCCTGATGGTAGCAGCAAAAGCACCCTATCTCCAACCTCAAGACATCGTTCCTTCGTCTTCCGGTTGAAATGTGCAGCGTACCTCTTACGTGCACGAATCAAGTTCTCTTTGGCCAGGTCCCACCCTAGCTTTAACCGTTCCTTGAGTTCCTGCACATACTGTGATATGGTTTTTTCAAGGAATCATCTGCCCCTTCGTCTGTCCATGTCTTCCTGAGAATGGCCAAGGGTCCAGAAATGGGTCTTCCGAACACCAAGGTCGCAGGTGGAAATCCAGTAGAGGCATTGGGTACTTCCCGGTAGGCGAATAGTGCTGCAGACAGATACTCGTCCCACCTCTCTGGCTTTTCCTGTGTTAATCTTCTCAGAAGCGATACCAACGTTCCATTGAACCGCTCATTCTGGCCGTTCGCTTGGGGTCGGTATGGACTGGTGCAAATGTGTTGAGACTTGATTATCTGAAACACTTCCTCCATTAGTTTCCCTTTAAACTGAGATCCATTGTCTGTCAGTATCTGCGAAGGGAATCCCACTCTGGTGAAAATGCTCATCAATGCCTCTGCCACAGTCTTACTGTCAATCCTCCGAAGTGCAACAGCCTCCGGATACCCTGAACAACAGTCGACCAAGGTCAATATGTAAGCATTCTTCTTCTTTGTGAGAGGAAGTGGTCCAACCAAATCGACCGCCACCCTTTCAAAAGGTGTGGAGGTGACAGGGGTTTCCCCCAGTCCGACTGGTGCATTCCTGCCTTTGGGAGCTACCTTCTGGCACTCCGGACAGGATTTGACATAACGCATGATATCTGCTGACATACCTGGCCAAAAGTAATGGCAGGCAATGCGTTGTGTCGTTGCATGTATTCCCATATGGGCACTATAGGCTATAGTGTGCCCCATCTGGAGAATCTGCTGTCTATATGTTTTGGGTACTACAAGTTGACTGTGCTCTGTATACTTGTCACTTGCCCATCTGTAAAGCAACTTACCTTTCATGAAGAATTCTTTCTTCAAAGGAGGATTGTGACTTGCAGTTAACTTTTTAAAACATGCCTTAAGGGTTGGGTCACTACTTTGGGCCACCTTAATTTCCTCAGGAAGAGGATTTACATGAGGAGAATCCTCTAAAGCACTTTTATGTTGTGCTCGGGTGGTCACCGCAGCAAGATGCTCTGAAGGTTTCTTCGGCTCTGCTAAAAATACATAAGTAGCGCCAAGAATTAAATCAAAGGTACAGTGTTCGAGCACTGCAGCCTCAATTACCCCCGAGACATACTTTGAACGGACCTTAATCTTAGCAATAGGCAAGTTTAAAGGTTTAGCATCCAATGTGGCACATTGGAGCTCTATGAATCTGCCAGTATACTGATCAGGTTTTACAAACTCTGGCCTCACCACACAGCCGTATGACAAACCACTATCATACAGACAATTTAGAGAATATCCATTAGCCCAAACCCTCTCTACCACAGGAGGCCTATTGGAACCATTGTACAATTGTTCCTGGGTAGAAGGTACTACAGTAGACAACAAAGCTGATACTTGTAAATTCCCTGACTGTTTGGATTTACATTCCTTAGTCCAGTGGTTATTATTCTTACAAATATGGCAGTAAGGCTTTTTAGGGCCATTAAAGGGTTGTCTATGTTGTGTTCCCTGAACTTTTGAGGGGTTCTGGGGTTGTGCTTGGGATGAATTCTTTTTAGGGGATTCATTTGGATGGGTTTTATGACCATTACCATTATTTTTCCCTTGGCCCTGGGCCTTGGGTTTCCCACCTATACCCACTTCTTTATGTGCCATCTCATACCTCTCAGCATACATCAACATCTCACTCAGTCTGTCAGCACCATTCTCCGTCAGGAAGGTTTGCATAGGCCGAGGTAATGTCTCTCGGAGTTGTTCCGTTAGGATCATCTCCTGTAAATCTTCAAAAGAAGAGGAGTATCCAGACATTTCCCTCCACCTTGTCAAATATCCCTGAAGGCGACTGGCGAACTGAGGATAGTTCTCCCCTGTCATCTTTCTCTCATTTCTGAACTTCTGTCTGTATGTCGCAGCATTAAGTTCGAAACGTTTCAGCAAAGCCTGACACAATGCATCATAATCAGTCTCAGTACCGGTGGGCATCCGTTGATAAATCTCGTATGCCTCACCCCTCAAACCTTGAGCCAACTTCAGCGTGTACATATTCCTTTCCAAGTTGTACAAAGATGCCAATTTGCCAAATCGGTCTAGGTACTGTTCAATATTTTCAGCCTTCGGGTCGAAGACTGGCATAGGAAAGTTCATCGCTTGAGCTGAGCTACTGTGCGTTGATGCACCATCAATATCAGGTGTTGGAGATCTGGGTCTATTACCCTCTCTCTGAGCCTGAAGTTCCAATTCTCTTAACCTCACCTCCTGTTCCAACTTCATTCTTTCTGATTCCTGTTCCAATCTCATTCTTTCTGACTCCCTCTCAGACTCAATTCGGAGTCTTTCAGTTTCTCGAATCCTCTCAGATTCTATTCGGAGTCTTTCGCTTTCCTTCTCTGCCTCAATTCTGAGTCTCTCAGCCTCACGGGCTTCCATCCTCATCTCACGTTCCGTGGTTTTAATCCACTCGGTCATTTCTTTACCCTCCAATCCCATCTGGACAGCCATGTCCTTCAATTCCTGTATGGAAATTTTTGACTGCGACATGCTGTCTTGTCAATCTAACAGTCCACAACAAAATATATTGTCACCAACAATGTAAATATAATCAACAATAGATTAAATTATTACCACCAACCAAGGATGTACCTAACCCAATGTACTTGAACACCACAAAACACCACAATGATTACAAATCACTCCTAGGAGTATACTCTAAGAACTGACCCAGAATGGTCACAACTGTGTTAACAAAAAACAAACACTGAACAACTCCTGGCCAAGATCACCAGCAAATTTAAAGATTGAACAGTGTACAAAACAATCCCACGACGAGACCACAGATTTTTGGGGATATGTTGTTCTGTCACATATCACTCCTGTCGCGTGCCTAATGTAAGGATTTCTCCTTCAGAACCAGCAGCACTCAGAGATAATTTTGTTGAGTCGTTTGGCTCGTATTGGTCTAAGGGATTCCCCGTGGCCAATATACGATCAACTTATCTCTGGAGTAGGGCAACTCAAGTATTGGCACTACAAAATATGTCAATATATATATATATATATATATATTTCTAGGCACACTTGGCTGGACACCCCCACTACTTACTAAAGAAAGCCCCCAGGTTATGATAGTTCATTATCATAACCATGTTAACACATATAATGAAGATACATACACATACAACTGCTAAACACTTAAGAAGGTGACATAGAGAAACCTAAGTCAGCCATGAAAATGAATGCATGTATTTAGTATAATATCTGTACAAAAACAATTGAAGTGAATTCCAGCTATCAGTGAAAGAATTTCAGCACTAATGTCTAGATCCTAAGGAAACTAGGCAGACAGCCGGTCCTGGAGGTGACATCTTCTCATCATGGGACAAGGAGCTGTGAGGAAAACAACATCATGCGAAGCATTAGACTTATCTTCTCTTATCTCTGTCTATGATGCCTCCCTCAGCTCCGGATGATTTGACTGTCTTTGACTCTGGGAATTCTGCTCCACTGGATCAAGTAGCAAGAGTACTTCACTGTACAGCAACTGTACTGGTATCTAGCATGTCTATATCACCAGTAAGGACACACAATGTCTTAGAGCCACATTACTCTGGCACTGGTAGCTGTTTGAGGCACAATCTCCCCCATTTTTGGAGATGTCAGGAACCTTCACAGGTGTTAGCTGGTGGGTAACAAGTTGGTTCTGGTGGTTGGATGTTGGTGAGTGGATGTTGTTGAGACTGTGAATCTTCTGCCAGCTCTTCAGAAAATATACATCCCAAGCATATGTAAAACTGAGCCCTTTCCAGATTGCCTTGAAAATTTAAAGTATACAGGCACAGATTAACACATCTGGAGGCTTGAGAAGCTGGCAAGGAGAATGGCGTCAGTTAGACATTTCAGGCGTTGGTACAAAAGAAGTTCCTTGTATACTGGGGCAAGGAGTAAATCGGTTTCCAAGAAACCTCAATTAACTCCCTAAATATATCCCCAAAAGAAATACATTTAAAAGTGGAGTTTAGTTAAAGTAACCAGAAAAGGCAGACATAATAATGTTGTCCAACACAGGCCTATATATATAGATATAAGGGACTATATATTTCTGGGCGAGTCCAAGTTTGAATTTTGTGCAGATTACAGGTAAGACAGGTTATCAGCCTTACAAACCGATGTGTAATGACTATCATTTCACGACATGAGGTCGTTGAGCAGATCCCGTCAATCAGCGTCGACCCAGGTATGGAAGTTGATGTGACTGTTGCTGATGCAGTATAAACAAGACATATTTGAAACTTAATAGATCTTTTTCTTCGCGTTCACCAGCTGTACACTCTATAGCAAAGTTCTGGTTGCTCGTCCACTACTGAACTGCAGTCCTGCTCCAGAACCTGAGTGTTGCGTGGGCATCAGTTTTACTGATCTCATTCTCTTGAATACAGACTGTTGGTTCCTTGCCTCTCCGGCAGATGCACTCCGACTTCAAAGGAAGTTCCCAAATTAATCGATTCTTACCAAATGCTTTTGGCGAGGCAGTGTGTCTATTCCTGTTTTCCCCACAATGGGACCCCGGAAAACACACGGGGGCTTAACAGATCTGTTTTCGAGAGGAAAAATAAAAATAAAAATAAGAAAGCATATAAAATACTTTATAAAAAAGTCAACTTCTACTATGTATCTTGCATAAAATAACTAATACTCTAGAACATCCCCCACAAAATGCCGTCCCCCCCCCCCCCCCCCCACCCCCCCCCCCCCGCAGTTGTCTTTTTTTAGCAAATGAATGGAAGGTTGCTTCTTCCTCTTTGTCTCGCTGCAGTCTTGCTGCTTATGCCATTGGCAAATGAAATTCTGTGCTTGTTGTTGAAGATGGGGACCGAGCGCTTATGGCAATGTTCCGATAAACAAAATATCAACAACAAAAAATCAGGTGACTGGTTGTAAAAAAAAAAAAATCTATTATTAGAAATAACGTACCATCTTCTAAATTCTAGGCACATTTTGAACAAAGGACAATGTATTTCGAATTATTTACACTTCGGCGAACCGTAGATTACTGCGATACACGGAAGCGTCAGCGATCAGCAAGTAAAATCAAAAATTATGCCGACAGAAGGAAATGCTCATCACTTTGCGGTTACCTTGGTGAAACAGACAGTGTGTGAATATAGTCGATTTTGTGTTTCAGTTTGAAGGTTTCATTTATTTGCCTTATTTTAATCAATTGTTACTGTAATATGCACCTGACAAGTTACAGTGAAAAATGCAATCTATTGTTTATGTCTTTGTTGTTCAAATTCACAACGGGGCAACATTGTTTGATCTTAATAAAAAATTAAATGCCGCTTAGAGGAATTAAGTGTAGTATTACCTTTCTGTTGCTAGCTGCATAGCTTGTGTTAATGTCACAATGCGTATCTCTACTGTCTCTTTTACTCCTTCCACCCATGTCTTTCTCGGTCGGCCTATTGCCTTGTACGCGCAAGCTGCTGGCTGATTTTGCTACAGGGACTTTGATGTGCTGTGTAATCATTTACCGATTTGATAATTTAAAAAAAAATTTTTTCGTGGTGGCATCAAGCAATTTTAAAACTGGTACTTGTAATAATCCGTTATACTTACATTTTCTTTAAAACCATTTTTCAGACGAAAATCCAAAGGGGGTTTTTTTGGCGGAAAAAATGCAAATATTACAAAGTATGCATTTAATTAAAGGTTAGAAACACATTTTGTCTCTTTTTTTAAACCCTTTGTTATTATATTGGGATTGAAAGGGGGGGGGGGGGGTAGAAATATTGCCCTATACTCAAGGGGGAGTGATCTGTACCACCCCCCCCCCCCCAAAAAAAAAAGTAACATACCACTTTTTTAGTGCATTGGTTTTTTGGTGCAGCTCACTTATTTGCATTTTTGCAAACTGTTTCTTCCCACGCCGCTCAACGGCTGGAGTGGACATTATGATGATGATGATGATGATAAGTAGTGGATTTTTACCCCACCAGGACATCACACAAGCGAGAGGTCCTAAAAACCGCGTTCAGCCATTATACCATATTTATTAGTTAGTTAGTTAGTTAGTCTTTCCTCTTGTGTCGAGTGCGGCACATAGGGCAGAGGTCGTGACTCTCCATGCACGGCGGTCCGTTGCAATCCGTTGTAGGTCTTTGATGTTTGAGTGGCCCATGAGCGAGCCTTCCCTGATGATAGTTCTACGTAAGGTTTCCCTTGGTCTTCCACGAGATCTTTTCCCCTGTGGTGTCCAAATGAGGGCTTGGTAAGGAAGTCTTGATTTATCCATTCTAAGGGCGTGGCCGACATAGTTCCAGCGCATATTTATGGCCGGGTTATATTGCGGCCCCTGGCAAGAGCCATGGTGGCGCTTCAAATAACGAAAAATTACATCTCACAAGGAGATGACTGCATTAAATGATGATGATGATAATTAATTTTATACCACAGATGTCGCAAAGAAAAATACATCCGGTTCTCAAACAATGAAAAAAAAAAACAAAAAACTAAACTATTTTCGACATGGCGAGAGAAGACAACTTAAAGTTGAACTTTTAAGTATGTACATGCCTTCTTTAATAATTTCACAATTTGTAGCTGACTTTTCTTGATTTTTGCGGCGGTACCCTGGCATACGCTCACAGCACCCGGTAGCTAACGTTATGTAATTTAACTCAGATAGTTCCTGTTTTTGCGTGTTCCTGTCTGTTCCCTGAGTACTAGCCAACAAAACTTATAGCAGTAAGCTCATGGCTATAGACCAACAAGGTAGACACACATAAAGAAGCTATATTTAGAGCAACCGTTACTGTAGCGCCAGCCGCCAGCCAAGTATAACCTGAAGTCATAAAGGGGTAAGGATGGTGAGTGATGAAGTGTTTTTTTTAAAGTCATAGTTACGAGAAGATCAAGGTACATAATGGTCTGCCTGACATTCGACGAAGATATACCGCAATGAATACTCTAAACATAGGTGTTCGCCTAGAAATTAAAAAGTATTATTACCGGTCACAATCTGGTTAAAAGTCCCTTGCCTTTCCTCTGAGTGAAGTCAGCCGGTCAGACCCTCTGGTTACACCCAGGTGCTTCATTCTCTCCAGGCCATTATAATCTTCTTTCTCTACTGATTCCGTTGCTTGTTCTCAAAGAGCCTTGAACACATCTGCCTTGTCATGCATCAATATTATGAACAATATTGCCGTCTTTTTTAGGATGAAATTTTTTGTTATTTGAAGCCCTACTCTGGCTCTTGCCAGGGGCCTCAATATAGT